TGGCAGGAGGGGTTTGGGATCTGCTCCAGGGAACAGGGACAGGAGGAATTTATTTCTTTATATACGAAAGAAATAAATTTGGGCCAGAGGAGGGTCTACGTGGAGATTTTGGAAATTTGCTTTACGGGAAGGGTGGTCAGACATGGGAACAGTTGTGCTGATGCCTTGTGCAGGCTGCCCTAGAGCAGAGTCACAGAATAAAGCAGGGATTGATTCCAAGCATCTCCTCCATGGATCCACCTTGGGCAGCACCAGAGCCCAGCCAGGGCTGCACCCAAGATGAACCAAAATGGCCCCAAAATGCACGAGGGGCACGGGCTCTGTCCCTGGGATCAGTTCTGCTCCATTTGCACCTTGCAGTTCATTGTCCCATTGCAGCTTTAGCCCCTGCAGTCCCACCCTGCTTGTTTTTCTCTCTCCAGCCCACGGGGTTTGTGCTCCTGGGCTGAGATTGGGATCATTTGTCCTTGGTGCCCAGCTGGAGCAGGAATTGTTTTGTCTCCCTGCTCTGTGCACAGAGCTCAGCATCCCTGATGTGAGCCCAGACCCACACACTAAAGCAGCACAGAGTGTGAAAATAGAAAAGCCAAACTTGAGGTATCAGTGAGTCCTCATCTCTGGAGGGATTTAAATCTCTGTGGATGTGGCATTTGGGGACATGGGGCAGTGCTGGCCCTGGCAGTGCAGGTGGGACAGCTGGACTCGATGACCCTGGAGGATTTTACCCACCCCACCCTCATCTTCCTCCCAGTTCTCTCTCCACCTCTTTGTGCTGGGGCTGCCCCATCCCAGGTGCAGGAATTGCTGAGCATAGGCAGCTGAGCTCCCATTAAAGGGGATTTTTTTCCATGGATGGGATGTTTTGCCCATTCCCCCATGGCTCCAACCACCTGGACCCACCCCAAAATCCCAATCCCAGACTCCAGCGCTGCCCCTTCCATGGGGACCCCTCCCATGGCTCTGCCTTGCACAGCTCGGGATGGAGCCAGCACTCACTGAGGGGGATTGGGAATCCTCGCTATCCCTGCTGCTCCAAAATGTCATTGGGTTTTGGATAAACTCTGGAAATGCCCAACAACCCCACTGGACTTACAGAGATATTCCCCAACAGATCCTGCTCCCAGCACCACTCGTGGTTCATAAACCCACGTGTTCCTCATAAATCTAACAGAGGTTTCTGCTTTTAAATTCCATTAAAAGAACCCAAATCCTCCACACAGCTGAAGGTTACAGCACTGCAGAATCCTCCTTTGTGTCTCGATGTCAAAATTAATTTACCAAGAGCTGCTGTTCCCTCTGCAGGAGCAGATAAACCACAGGGTTTAGGGTAAAACTCAGCAAATTAGGGCCCAGAACCAGCCCAACACCATTCCCAAATGTGTTGCACTGTTAAATGGGAAATAAAGGACACCACAGATGCTTCCAATAATTCCAGTTTTGAGTCATTTTTCCCTCCTTTGTCTTAAAGAGCTTTTGATGTGCAGCCCCAATATTGTGTCTCTCTCTGTTTTTAATAATTTTCTATTACCTCAGCAATATAAACTCTCCTGCAATGGGCTGAACTTTAATCTGGGGGAGATGAAACAGGCAGAAATGCCATGGGCTGGAGAGTGACCAACTGGGGGCAATATTATCTCTCCTCCTATAAAAGATAGCCCACAGCAAGATAAAAAATTGCTGCTTGGATTGCACAGACATCACATCTTTGAGAGGCTCCAGGCCCATGGAAAGGGAATTTTCCCATTTTGTCCATGATGTTCTGCAGCAGAACCAGCTGCTCATTCCACAGAACCCTGAATTCATAAAGAAACACTGATTAAAATATTGTAACACACAAGAAAGATTCTGCCAAATTTTTCTGCAAATGAAAAATTGACTCTTTTTTTGTCTAGCAGTTCTGAAAAAAATATTGTGTTGTTTGTGCAAAAAATGTTCTTTAGAGGAACTCTGTCCAAATGTCTCAGGACTCTGCTTTGTAACCCCTGTGCTCACAGCAGAACCACCTGGGAGCTTGGGCTGCACCATCAAATCCCTGAAATCTAATGGGATAAAGGGAAGGAATTGTTCCCTGGGAGGGGCTGGGATGGAATTCCCAGAGCAGCTGTGGCTGCCCCTGGATCCCTGCAGTGTCCCAGGCCAGGCTGGACACCCTGGGACAGTGGGAGATGTCCCTGCCATGGCAGGGGTGGGATTGAAGGCTCCTCCCAAGCCAAAGCCTCTCCCTTGAATCCCTGACCCCGTTTGGAGGAGGCAAAGCCAAAGCTCAGGCACCCCAAAGAGGCTGAATCCCGCCCCAAAGCCAAATTCCTCCTGCTGAGTGTGCAGGGATGGGAGCCAATGGATGTGGGAGGTGAGCCCACAGTGCAGAGCCTTGGATCCAGCAGGAATTTGTGCTTGGAGTGTTCTCCTGGCAGCCTGGAGCTGGGGCTGTTTCAGGGCTCTCCTGGTGAACACAGACCACGGGACAGGGAAATGGGATCAGGATTCCCCAACCTTCCTGGAAATCCTTGTTCCTGCAAAGCAAGGCACAGATTCCCTCCTGACCTGATCCCTGAATAAACACAAACCCTGGTGAGTTCTGAGCTTTCCAGCCCTCATCTCTGCACAGGCAGCTCTGGCCCTTTCCATCCAGAGAATGCAGAATTCCAGCCCAGCCTCTCCTCTGTGGGAACAAAGGATCCAAATCCCCATTTCAGGCTCTGCCTCAGTGGTCTTTACCTCAGTAAATATTTATTCTTTCACAGCAACACAAGCAGCCTGGGGGGGATGAGCCTGTCCAGGCTGAAGGCTCAGTGAACACCGTTTATCCAGAGTTTTATTCCCACTGCTCCAGAGCTCCCATCCAGCCAAGGCTGCTGCATTTCCCACAGCCCTGGCTCTGCTCTCTCCTTGAAGAAGGAAGGGATGATGATTTAGCATCTGGAATATTCCCTCTCCCTTTGTTTGCCACAAAGCCAGCTCTGATCCCACGTCTGCATCCCCACCTGAGCAGTGACTCCTCATTTCTGGCAGCATTTCTTTTCCTCATGACCTCACCAGTTCTGCCTCACTGCGTCACCTCCCTGTGCACCAGGTGTGAGCCAGACTGTGATTTCACCTCAGAATTCCCACATTTCCCAGCTGAGAGGTCTTCCCAAGGCTCTTCAGGTGTGCTGCTCAGAGCTGCTCCTAAAAATACCTAAAAATACTCTGACCTCAAGGACCCAGCTTTGAAATAAAGGAGAAACCTCAAACTGAGCCTGAGCTGTTTGAACATAAAACCACAGAGTGTGTGAGGGATCATTTTATGATCCCACTGCTGCTCCTGAAGGATTTGGTTATTCCTATTTGCTGATTAAAGCCAAGGATGCTTGGCTGATAGCAGCTCAGCCTCCCTGGAAACAGGGAGCCAGGGATCCTTCAGGATGGAGGAAATGCCGACGTGCTCGTGGTAAAACAATGTTTTAATAAACAGCAGCATAAAATAATCAGTGTTTAATATCATCTCTGGCACGTGAAATACAAAAATGCACAATATCTCAGTTATAAAATAGCCTTTGTTATTACATTTTTTTTCCTCATGCTTGCCTAATTGAAATGCCCGTAATTAATAACTCAATCATCAAGTAATACAGTGATTAAACGCATGCAGTGAAAACAAAGAAAGATATTTGTATAAGGTAGTGGCTGAGTATCACCATAGTATATTTCAGGAACATCTACATCAGGGTAAAAATCAAAAGAAACAGCCCCAAGATATAAAATGCAGAGATGTATTTTCACTTCTGCTGTACAAAAACATCATCACACTTTTGTGCAAAAAAGATAAAAATAAAGTCCTATTATACAACATTGTCAACTGAGCAAAAAGATTGGTTTTTGTGGACAATAAAAATATTATTCAGTACAAAAAAAGAGTCTGTGGAAAATGTACCATACACAGCACGTGTGTAACTCATTAAAGTGGTTTCAAATGAAGAATCTTGGTTGGTTCTACCTGAATGGGTTTTTTAATGACACAAATGGTGCATTTCTAAGTGGAAAATCAGCACTAATTCACATTATTAGACACAATTGCTATCGATGGATTTGCTGCCTGATGGAATGTGAGCCTCCTTTTTTCCAGGGTTACTGGAGTCAGAGTCACTGAAATGACACAATAAATATTCCTGGGAAAGCTGATTGTCATCTCTAAACTTGTGGTTTGGCGCTTTTCCATTACACAGTTGCATAGCAACAAAAGGATATAAAATTCCTGCTTGAGCGACTAGATCATGAAACGTTATCTTTGAAGAAGTTGATTCAGGTTCTGAAATTAAAGCACTTTAATTTCATTTCCTTTAAGGCAATTCCTTAAGAGCTCCAGCTGTCCTCAGCAGCCAGCAGCAGATGAGGTTTGTAGACTGCAAGCTGGTAACTCCAGCATTTGTGCTGTCACATAAATGACATTTTTTGGTACGAATCTGAGCTCAGACTCCCAACCAAACCAAAGACCAAAATCCCACCTGAAGTAACGGATTCAGCTCTCAGATCACACATTTGAAACACAATCCTCGACCGCAACATTTACAAATATTTTCCCTATTGGCACTGAAATTGCACACCCAGATCTCCGAATCTTTGCATCTCCTAAAAAAAGAGACAAATATTAAAATATGGTTTTCAGTATTAAAAAAAAGTTCCCGTGATTCAAACCACGCTCCAAAAAGCCATGAAAAAGCATTGATAAAACGTTTCTATCTTTAAAAAACCCCTCAGATTCCCTCTGCCCCTCTTTGAGCTGTTGGTGGCACTTGGGGAATCGTGGCCAAGGCTGGGGATTCCCACCATGAGGATCCGTCTGGCTGTGCCTGCCCATGCTGGCGAGCAGTGAAACTTCACAGAAGACACTTTGCTGCGACGTCTGTCCAACAGCCAGAAAAGGACCTTCAATAAAATATCTGAATAGAAAAACAAACCCATCTCTGCTGCCCGTGCCGAGTCCGCGTCCGAAGGGTTCTCTGTACAAAGGCCTCGCGTATTTACAACTCGGCCGAGATCACCGACTCGTTGGGTCCGTGCACGCTGGAGTCCCCCAGCAGGGAGGACTGCTTGGAGTCCATTTTGTAGGGTTTCTGAGTCTTGCTGCCAAACACGGCCATGCCCATGCCCGCGGGGTGGCTGGGGATGGCCATGTGGGACAGCAGGGGGATGTTGGCCTCCTGGTTGGAGCCCGACGAGGGCAGGCTGGTGACGTGGCCCGTGCTGGTGGAGCCGCTGGCGCTGCTGGGCGAGCGGCTCTTGGGCGGGGGGCAGTGCTGGATCACCCTGGGCGCGGCCGGCGGGGCGAAGTGGGGCGCGGGGAAGGCGGCGTAGCCCGGCGGGATGGGGAAGCCGTTGATGGGGATGTAGCGCTGGTTCTGCGCCAGCGGCGGCCCCATGAACCCCGCCAGCTGCCCCTGCGGGATGCCCTGCGCCGGGAACATGTAGTTGGGGTACCGCGGGTTGCTGAGGTTGCTGACGGGGCTGGCGCTCAGCGAGGTGGTCTGGGTGGTGGCGTTGCCGCCCGAGGGGGTGGTGGAGCTGGTGTGGCTGGAGAGGCCCTCCCAGGAGCGCAGGCGCGCGTGGATCTCCTTGAAGCGCGGCCTGCGCGAGGGCAGGTCGTGCCAGCACTCCGTCATCAGGCTGTACATCCTGGGGGGACAGTCCTCGGAGCACGGCAGCAGCTGCCGCTTCCGGATCATCTCGATCACCTCCTGGTTGCTGAACCCGTAGTAGGGCTGGAGGCCGAAGCTGAATATTTCCCACAAAACCACCCCGAAGGACCAGATGTCGGAGTCGGAGGAGAACTTGCCGTACATGATGGCCTCGGGAGGCATCCAGCGGATGGGCAGCAGGGACTTGTTCTGCACCCTGTAGTAATCGGCCGAGTAGATCTCCCTGGAGAGCCCCAGGTCGGAGATCTTCACGTGGAGCTGCTCCCCGATCAGGATGTTGCGGGCGGCCAGGTCCTTGTGCACGAAGAAGTGCCCGGCCAGGTACTCCATGCCGGCGGCGATCTGCACGGCGATGTGCAGGAAGTCCCCGTGGTCCAGGCTGGACTTGACCGTGCCGTCCTCGTCGCTGCTGCAGCCCACGTCCGAGTGGGGCGAGCGCATCACCAGGAACTCGTGCAGGTCGCCCTGGTTGGTGTACTCGAAGAGCAGGCACACGGGCTGCTCCTGCGTCACGCAGCCCAGCAGGCACACGATGTTGGGGTGGTGCAGCTCGGCCATCAGCGACGCCTCCTGCTGGAATTCCGCCCACTGCTGAGGGTTGTTGAAGTCCTTGAGGGTCTTGATGGCCACCAGCTGGGCGTGGTCCATGCCCGGCAGGTAGAGGTGGCCCTTGTAGATCTTCCCAAAGGCGCACTCGCCCAGCTCCTCCATGAAGCGCACGGCGGAGAGGGGCAGCTCCTTGGCTTTGCTCTGCGAGAGAAACACCAACAACAGGTCAGGGCTGAAAATGGCCTTTTTAAAGTGAAATCTCTCGGTGCAGGATGTGTGGGAGCCAAGGAGGTGGACAGGAGCAGTGATCCCACATGTGGCAGGAACAGCTCGAGGGACACCGGGATCCAAACGGGATCACCAGGATCCAAATGGGATCACCAGGTTCCAAACAGATCACCAGGATCCAAACAGGATCACCAGGATCCGAACGGGATCATCAGGATCCAAATGGGATCACCAGGATCCAAACGGATCACCAGTATCCAAATGAGATCACAAGGATCCAAACAGGATCTAAACAGGATCAATGGGATCCAAATGGGATCACCAGGATCCAAACGGGATCACCAGGATCCAAACGAGATCACCATGCTCCCAAAGGTAACAAAAAGAATTCCTTTCCTCCAGCCTCTCCACAAGGTCAGACACAACAAGAATTGGACCCAAATATACCCAGGAACTATTGGAATATGAGTCCCAATATTATCAGTTAGATGGTGCCTGGGCCAGTCTGACCCTCGCTGCTGGGCCAAAGGCAGCAACTGTGGTGTAAATCACCCCAGAGATACCTTGGCTGCTGGAGGTTGCAGCTGGGCACTGAGCAAGTCCAGGCTTGTCAGGAACTCCGTTTACCTCAGGAGAGAGAGCTTCTGGCGATGGTGAAGAGAAAAAGGAGAGGATTCCGCTGGAAGGTTTAATGTCCAGAAGTTTATTCCATGGTTACAGAGGTCTGGACGGCAGCAGCTGCTCCAGCAGAATCTCCGAGCACATGGCCTGATCACCTTTTAATCTCCCGGGGCAGGGGGAGGGGAGGTACAGGTGAGCCACCCAACCAGGTGAGGGGGGCTGGGTCTCAGGGGGGGGACAACACCCAGACTGGCCAATGACCCCTGGGCATAGGGGCATCTTTTGAACTTGACCAACCACAGGACACCTCGCTGGAATGTTGAGCCTGATTGACAGGACTCACTCAGCATGGGGGCAAGGGGGAAGGGAGAGAGGTATAGGCACACCTGGGAAAGGGACCGGGAAGCTTAAGACACACCGCAACAAGGAACCATCAGCATCTCGGCATTTGGCCTTGGGCATTTCTGTACTTCCAATTGAATGTGACTAATTTCAGGAATTGAGGCAATTCCCATGCTCTGAGAGGTCCATGCTGAAGTGTTTTCTGGGCCAGGGCCTGGAGTTTCAGCAGGAAAAAAATGAATTTGTTTTAAAAACCATGTCCTTGTAGCCAATTTTCCCTTGACTTTGCTGTTAACCCTTCCAGGCACAGCAGAGGCTGTTTCTGTTCCATCCTGAAACTCTGACAGTGAGTTTCTCAAAGGAGAAAGGCAAACCTCTTAAACATTTATTGCCCTTTGGTGTGCAGATATTCACTCCTGGGCCATAAAGAACCTGCATTATTCCCAACTTCCACTTGTGCTTGTAACACCCAAACCCACTCATTTAGGGCCCTCAGTAAATCCACAGGTAGTAATTTAAGGTTAATGAGTTTGGGATCTAGGTTCTGTAAATTAGTGTAAACACTGGCATTTGCATTCCTGAAATCATGCAAGGCCAGCTTTCCAGTGGCAATGTGGGAAAAAAACCTGACATTTCAAATAATCATAAAAAAAACCAGTTTTTGCATAAATTAATTCTAATTGTATTGATCACTTATGACTTTATACAAACACTGCATTAATAATCATAATAATGATGATAATAATAATAATAATAAAGCCATTTAAGCAGGCAGCCCAGTAGACTGCACAGTGATGGCAGGAAATTAGCTATATTGTTGAGGAACAGATGGTTTATATTACCCAAATCCTTTAGGCTAAAACTTGTTTAGGTCTGGCATATTGTAAATTATATTTTAGTAATGAAAGTGAAATGACCTCTGTCTGACCCGAGCCTGGGTCCGTCTGTTTGAACCAACAGAGTGGAAAACTGGGGGAAGAAAATGAAGTCATAAAGTTTTGGCAGGAAGGGCTCATTTGGAGTGGAGCAGTTGTAAATCTGCTCGGCTTTTGTTTGACAAGTATTTGTCACACACGGGTGTCCAAAATGTAGGGAAGTGTAAAATACACAAGAGGCAGCAGGTCAGGGGAAAGGGAGAGGGAAACCACCCCTTCCACCTCTCCTTCAGCTCCAGGACAAGATGTCCCTAATGTATTATATTTTTGAAGGCAATTAAAACCCCTTAAAACGGGAGGAAATGCTAACATTCCTATTTATCCAAGCAAACAACTGCCTCAGTGGGAGCTCAAAGCTTAAATGTGTTTTCACCCAAAGCTGACATCAATTTTCAAAATAAGATTCCATTTCCTTTCCTTGAAAATATTGTTTGAAAGGCAATCAAAACACTGGAGACAGGGAGAGCTGGCTTTCCCAGTGGGAAAAATTGAAATTAGCATAAATAAAATGAAAATATTCCTGCAGCACATCACTTGCAAATTGAAAGGAAAGTGAATGGTCAATATTTGCAAATATTTCCAGGAATTTCTGCTTTCCTGTGCTGTGGAGAGGTGGGAATTGCATCCTCAATAAAAGAATGCTGGCATTCCCATTATCTTCAGGACTGAACTCCAAATTCCCAGCAGAACATGGAGCAAGAGGCACCCCAAATTTAATAAAATATTCCAGGAGGTTGGATGCAAGATGCAGTTCGGACACTGACTTTATTAAATGTTTTTTTTACTGCTACCAACATTTTGAGCTAAAACCACTCCAAGCTGTACAGGAAAGCTGGAATTGGGAACTTCCAAGGAAAATGAAGATAAATTCACCAGCCAAGTGTGTGTGGGATTGAGATACAGGTTTTCACTCTAAAAGAGCAAAGCCCACCAAATTCCAAATGAGCAAAGCCCATCAAGTTCTTGAAGAACCATAAAATATCCCGAGTTGGGAGGGACTCCTGAGGATCAGAAGCCTTGGCATGGTGTGGAACACAGGGGAAATGCTCTTCCAGGGCATTGCTGTGCCTGTGGATGGCAGGAGGCACCTCAGGCACATCCCACTGGGAAAAAGGAACACGAGGTTGGTCACACTTCCATCAAAATGATTTTTAAAATTCTTCCTGGACGTGGGGCTGTGCTGAAGCCAAACAGCAGCAGCAGGAGCTGTGCTGCAGGCAGAGCTTTGAGGCTGTTTTGGACATTTCTGCTTTGAGCTGAGGGAATGGAGAAGCCTGAAAAGCCAAGGAACCTTTGGAAATCTTTCTCAGGATGATTTGAGCTGAGTGAACGGTGACAGATGAACTGAGCACAGCCATGAAGAGCTCTCCTGAGGAAATGCTGAATCACATCTTTACCTGCATTACCTCTCACTTAAATGAGGTGCTGTGGAGATGCTTCAGGAAGGGCTTTCTTGCTTTATCCCACAAAAACTCCATTACTTCTCCAGAGACACTGACACACAGTGGTCCAGCACATGCTGCTGCTGCTGAGAAAACCCTCACGGAAATCACACAAATCCCAGGCTGGAACCCCCCTGAAGCATTTCCTCCCTGGCTGCAGGCGTGGGAGCAGAACTGAGGGTTTACCTTTGGTTTGTAGGCGTTGAGCATGGACATCTCCACGTTCTGCCCCCGGCCGTGCTTGGGCTGCCTCTGCACCGGAGGGGACGAGGATTTCTGGTTGTTGCGACAGATGCAGATGAAGAAGAACAGCAAGGCTATGGCCAGGGGAATGGTGACACTTGGCACCAGGATGTACAGGATTTCCATTTTGTTCTTTTCCTTGGAATCCTTGTAATCTGGTTCAGAAAGGAAAAAAACACCCGTTAACATCCCACAGACTCAAACACATCCCTGGGTCAACTTAAAGCGTTAAAAAGAATAAAATATCCTTTTTATCTTGCTGAAATCCACCTTGAATGCTGTTTTATTTAATTAATATTAAAAGGAAAAATTATTTTGTGGAGGAACAGTTCTGTGAGGTTACACAGGAGCAGTCCCTGCCAGGTCAAACCTACTGATGGGCAGGAAAGAGTGAAATGCTCTGATGTGGCCTTGGCTTGGGCTGAAATGAAGTCATGACCCAACACAGATCCACAGGAAAGGGAGTTTCTAAAACACCTTATGGAAGAATCTTGAGGGAGGTGCCCCTTCCCATGGCAGAGAGTTGGAACTAAATGATTTTTAAGGTGCCTTCCATTCTGTGATGCCAAGAAAAGCTCTGGTGGGAATTCAATCTCCTTATTTTGTGTTCTGGTTTGAGGCAATTTAAAGGAGAACAGTCTGGATTGAGATGCTTCCCTTTAAAGGTTCAACCAGCAAAAAGGAATGGGTACAAGCAGATGGAAGTGAAAGAAGAACAGTTCAGTACGAGCAGAACCAAGCAAGCAGGGTGAGGTGCCAGGAAAGCTGGAGCAGGGATAGAAGGGAGGAATGCGAGGAGTTGGGAAGGAGGATGGTGTGACACAGCCCAAAGGCTCCCTGCAACCCCTGCTCCCTCTCAGGGCTCTTCCCAGGCCATTTTGGAAATATTTTGGAGCCCTCTTTGCCACTGCCCAGGATACCCAGCACTGCATCCCTGGGCTGGGAGGTGGGAGACAGGGGAGAGGCTTTGGGAGGAGCTCAGGCAGCCACACAGGGGACAGGGACAGATCCAAAATCCCGCGTGTCTCAGGCACAGGGACAAGGACAGATCCCAAATCCCGAGTGGCCCAGGCAGGGCACACAGAGCCCTCCCTGCTCTGCCATTCCCAAGGAGCATTCCCAGGGTTAAGGGTGGAATTACACCCGGATTAACGCGCTCACTCCAGGGGACTGGAGGATCCCCGGAGCCCTGGCTGTTTCCAAGGGACTTGGGAATGCCTGGGGCTGCCTTGGGGACCCTGGGAGAACAGGGAATGTTTTATTATCCCTGCAGGGTCACTCCAGTTTGTTTGTCTGTGTTTTCCAGGCTGGATTTGTACAAGTGCTTAGCGGCCCACACAGATCTCTTTTATGCACTTCATTAAACATGAACTTGATCTGAAGCTTGGGCTCGACTCAAATTGTGACAGAGGCAAAGTTCAAATGGTTCTGGATGTCACTTTGCATAACCCCTCTCCTCTTTCAGCTCACGCTGTCCTCTGCTCCCCCCACGTCCTCTCTGATCATTCCTTTCAGATTAAGTTGTGCCATCTGGTTTTTAATTGAGAGGAGAGGGAGCCCAAATATTCCTCCAGCCTTTGGGAAAGGGGAGAGGCCCTAAGCACCACCCCCACGGCGTTTTCCCTGTTCCCAGAGAGGCAGGGATTCACACAGTGCCCTTCCCAACCTTCTTAGGCTGGGCTTTGCTAAGCCTCATGCTCGAATTAGCCCGTGTTTCACATCTCCCTGCAAGCAGGTTGACAAACTTTGATGAAACAAATCTCTCACAGCTTGTGAGATACAGTTGAAGAGAGGAAAAGAAAGCAGCAGCACGAGGCAGAGGGAGACCTGGGCACCAGTTCATCACCTGAGCTATTCCAGTCAAAGGCAATTATTATTCTTATTAAGTAGCAGCCCCCACTGTGAAGCCTCATTAGGTTAATGAGCTTCTTGGGAGCCACCCTAATTAAATCCATTTCCCATCTAGGCATGTCCTGGTGGGGCAGAATGCACAATGCTGATTAAAACAGGCCTGAAATGGCTCTTTCAGCCAGTGCAAAACCAGCAGAATGCAAGTCCCACACAGTGTTCTGGTTTTAATATGCAGATTAGCACTTAACAATTCAATTACTGCTCACCTGATCCAGCCCTGCTTGCATTTAGAATAACAAAGCCACAGAACAACCATTTAAGTAAGGCAGCAGTGAGAGGTTTGGGCAATTAAAAACTTTGTCAGGAATTCTCCAGCCTATCTCAGTTATTATCAAGCAAAGCTTGAAAATCAGAGTTTGGCTCCAAAAGAGTCTTGGTACCCCAGATCAAAAGCCTGAGCCAGGCCTGGCACCTCAGAGCCCATCCAGAGGGGACTGGCACAGCAATCTTCAGGATGGTTTTTTGTTATTTCTGTTGGAATAACAGCAGAAGAGGTGCAGGACTCAAAAAGTGTGGGGAAAATCACAGAACTGTTGAGGTGGGAAAAGCCCTCAGAGATCAGCAAGTCCAACTCCTAAACCAGCACTGCCAACACAGCCCAGGCCTTGTTTCAAAAATAGAGGTGGCATTGCCAGGTCCTCTAAAATGGATTTGAAATTTGTGTTTCTAGAGCTGCCCTGGCTGCGTTTTGGGTTTGCAAAATGAACAAAAAAGGAGATTCAGCTCTCATTAGATTCTGCTTTTCAGAGAGCTGGGGGGAAGTGAATGGAAGACCTGAACAAATGGGTCCTAATTGTTTTATCTCCATGTGGAAATAACAATATTGATAACAGGCCAAGAAAAAACCACAGCTATTCGCATGAACATGCCAGAAATCCACCCAGAAATGTTGTGGAAATTCAAAGTTTCACACCAAATTTGATGCTGCCTACAAGTTGTCACAGTAACATTTACCTTTCCCCTCAGAAATGAGATACCTTTGATGTTCCTGCTCCAGAGCCAGACCAAATCACATTTTTTCTTGGTTATGGTTATGAACATTCCTGCAGGGAGACATGTTCTGAGTCTGCTCCAAAGCCTTTTTCAATTAATGGAAAGATGGGAATCGACGCCAAAATGGGATCTAAATCATGTTCTTACTGAAAGGGTAGATCAGGGGCAAGGCAAATAGTCTGGGCTCTATCATGTGCATCTCAAACCCTCTCCCTGTTTTTGGGGCCCCCACAAGAAGAAAGCCATGGAGGGGCTGGAGCGTTTCCAGGGCAGGGAAAAGGGCTGGGAAAGGGATGGAGGATCCCTGAGAAGCTGGGCAGGGGCTGCAGAATCCCTGAGGGAGCTGGGCAGGGGCTGCAGAATCCCTGAGGAGCTGGGCAGGGGCTGCAGAATCCCTGAGGGAGCTGGGCAGGGGCTGCAGAATCCCTGAGGAGCTGGGCAGGGGCTGCAGAATCCCTGAGGAGCCGGGCAGGGGCTGCAGAATCCCTGAGGAGCTGGGCAGGGGCTGCAGAATCCCTGAGGAGCTGGGCAGGGGCTGCAGAATCCCTGAGGAGCTGGGCAGGGGCTCAGCCTGGAGCAAAGGAGGCTCAGGGGCCCTTGTGGCTCTGCACAGCTCCTGACAGGAGGGGTTTGGGATCTGCTCCAGGGAACAGGGACAGGAGCAGAGGGAACGGCCTCAAGTTACACCAGAGGAGACTTAGATTGGATATTTGGGAAAATTTCTTTGCTGAAAGGGTTGTCCAGCCCTGGCACAGCTGCCCAGGGCAGTGGTGGGGTCCTAAAAGGGACTTTAAAAGGGATTTAAATGTGTGGATGTGGCACTTGGGGATGTGGGGCAGTGGTGGCCTTGGCAGTGCTGGGGGTGGTTGGACTACATGACCCTGGAGGGCTTTTCCAACCTAAACAATTCCATGTTTCTGTGATTTAATTTGGCCTAAGGAGTTGTATTGATTGGAATACCAACCTGGAAAGTCAGGAACACCTGAGCTGGCAGTGCACAGCCATTCCCCAGGAAATTATTCTCATGCCACTACTTTGTCACTGCAGGGGCAGCAACTGCTCAAAGGTGTCCAGGGAGCAGGGCCAGCCAGCCTTTCCTACAAACGTTTTGTGCACCAAACTGATGCCTCAAGTTTAGCTTTTCTATTTTCACACTCTGTGCTGCTTTAGTGTGCAATTCTGAGCTTGACATCAGGGGATGCTGAGCTCTGTGCACAGAGCAGGGAGACAAAACAATTCCTGCTCCAGCTGGGCACCAAGGACAAATGATCCCAATCTCAGCCCCGGAGCACAAACCCCATGGGCTGGAGAGAGAAAAACAAGCAGGGTGGGAGTGCAGGGGCTAAAGCTGCAATGGGACAATGAACTGCAAGGTGCAAATGGAGCAGAGCTGATCCCAGGGACAGAGCCCGTGCCCCTCGTGCATTTTGGGGCCATTTTGGTTCATCTTGGGTGCAGCCCTGGCTGGGCTCTGGTGCTGCCCAAGGTGGATCCATGGAGGAGATGCTGTGAATAAATCCCTGCTTCATTCTGGAACTCTGCCCAGCCTCTGCTCCAGGGCAGTTTTCACAAGGCACCAAGCCCTTCCCCTTTCCCCCAGCTCCAGCCCACACCGGGTCAGGCATTACCGCAGGCCGGGACATCGCAGAGCTCTGACTTGAGGTTCTCATCCAAGGTGAAGCACCACGGGGCGTCCTTCTGGTTGCCAGGGTTCCTGCAGTAGGAGTGGCCCCCGTTGAGCTCGGGGTACCGGGCAGCAGTGAAGGTGTGCGTGTGGGGGTACTGCGAGTTCCAGGGCTGGCACTGCCGCCCCGAGCGCGTCACGCTCACCGTGCCCCGGTAATCCACGCCCGTGCTGTTGTAGCACCTGTGATCTGCAAAGACAACACAGCACAAGGCCACTCTTCATTTGTGAGCCTCTGAAGGACACACAAGGCAAGATGTATTCTATTTGTCACCTGGATGGCAGTTGTCTTCTATTAAGTGGGCAGTATTCCTTATCTTTTCCGTACCAAATCCTCTCTCAGGGGAGACATCTGCTGATAACAGCTATTGAATGTCACTGCATGGCTGATAAGAGCTACAGCATCCCATTGGGAGATGTGAGCTCAGAAGGAGGAGCCAAGCATTCCTACCTGGATATAATCTGGAGATTCTGGAAACACCAGCACGGCTTCTGCACTGGATTGCCCAGAGGAACAGCAGCTGCCTCTCCTTCCATGGGATCTTCAGAGGAAGAATACACCTTTCTACAGAGAACCACCCCTGACACTGCAGGAGGGCTGAGCCACAATTCCAATGGGATTTCTACAGGATCCCTGCTCCAACAGAACCACCCCTGACACTGCAGGAGGGCTGAGCCACAATTCCAATGGGACTGCTGCCAACACTCTGACCCACAGGGCGACAGGTTGTGTTCTGACTCTGTTCAGTGTTGGTTTATTTTACTAAAATTGTTTATTTTATCCTTTTATTTCCTTCCCTATTACAGAACTGTTATTTCCTGCTCCCATAATTTTTGCCTGAGAGCCCCTTAATTTAAAATTTATGGCAATTTGGAGTGGGGGGGGTTTATATTCTTCATTTCAGGGGAGGCTCCTGCCTTCCTTAGCAGACTCCTGTCTTTCCAAACCAAGGCACCACGGCATTCAGTGTAGCCATGATATTTTCTGAAAAATCCTTTCCTTAGGATTTTTTCTCCTGAGAAGCTGGGAGGCCTCAGGAACAAAATGTAAATGGTTATCTATGGCTGTGGAATGCAACAGGTGCATCTGGGATTGGTCTCATGTGATTGTTTTCAATTAATGGCCAATCACACTCAGCTGGCTTGGACAGAGCGCCCGAGACACAAACCTTTGTTATCATTCTTTGCTATTCTATTCTTAGCCAGTCTTCTGATGAAATCCTTTCTTCTATTCTTTTAGTACAGCTTTAATATAATATATATAATAAAATAATAAATCAGTCTTCTGAAACATGGAGTCAGATCCTCATCTCTTCCCTCATCCTGGGACCCCTGCGAGCACGGTCACAATTCACGGTCACTCACTCTTGTTGATGGGGTCGGCCATGGGGATGCCGATGCGGATGCAGTTGACGGCCTCGGGGCTGTCGGGCTGGGGCAGATCCTCGCAGTTGGGCAGCTTGAGCCTCATCAGGATCATGGGGTTGGACCTGGCGAAGATGTACTCGGTCTGGCACAGCACGTTCTCCAGGATCTCGCACTCGTCCCGGCACAGGTCCCGCGGCTTGGGCACAGAGGAGGTCTCGTCGCAGTAGGGGAAGGCGTAGTGGCACAGGGAGGGGATGGCAAACTGGGAGCACTTGTCCGACAGGTGGCTGGAGGTGCCGATCATGGTGAAGGCAGCTGGAAAAAACCACACGAGGGTTTGGTTTGGGAACCTTTTCCCTGGGCTGTGTCATCCCAGAGAAACCCTCACTCCCCACTGCAGCTGTGCAGGTGATGAGCAGGAATGCACAGCGCTAATTACACTGGAAGTTATTAACCATGCTGATTTCACTGACAAGGAAAATACATCAGGTTTTCATCACGGGATTAATACTAAGCTCATTACCCAACCCCCAGACATAATATTCCTTTAATTAAATATTCCTTTAATTATTCCTTCTTTCCTCCCAAATAACTGAGAATAACTTACAAATTCACGTAATATTTGGAAGCCCAACAGGTAACCCCCAAATTCCTGCACTGGTTCTTTCACGGAAGGTGACAATCCTAATACAATCCCAAATAACTTTTCAAACTAAATGCTGGAAGATTATGAACTGGTGGCTCCACATTGCCTTTCTTGGGGATATGAAGCCTTTTTTTGCAATGCTGACGGTGTTTGGAGACAAAAGGAAAAGAGAAATTTGGGATAATCTGACAGCAAGGAAAAAAAATCTTAATATAGAGATGATTACCAGGCCTGGGAACAGGCCAAGTTAATTTATATAAAAAATAGAGAATATCATGGTATCTATGATATCTATGAATTCAGCAACCCCATCAGCACATCCCACAAGAATAATGGCAACTGGTTCTCCCCTAAATCCAAAGGAATAATACTGCTTGCAGGATTATTTATGCAGCCTTTCCCAGCACCTAAATTATTCAAGCCATGTAAAATCAATTAAAGTTTGTCCCCCTTTGCTTTCAAAACCTGCTGGGGTAATAGCAGCACTGAGTCTCCCAGAAGCTGTAAACACACAGCCCCTTCTCCCTGAAAAATCTCTTTTTTTTCAGGTGTTTTGGGAGGAGCTGGAGGAGCAGAGACCCCCAGACGAGCTCATGGCAGGAGGGAATAAAGCAAAGCAAAACAACATTGCTGTTTATAAAACTCCAGCAGCTTTTTGGGAGCAGAGAGCTGGGTGGGGAAGCAGCGAAGGTGTTTTTACCCACCTGTAATCTGATTTTCTATCTCCCCCTGCATGTGCAGGGACTCCATGTAGATGGTTCTGTTGCCAATGAAGCGGGCGCAGGCGATGCCCCTGTAGGGCTGGCAAAACCCATCCTCCTCATACTCATCCCTGAAACAGCCAGAAACACAAAAAGGTGACTGCAAAATGTTGAAAACAATTAGGATTATTTCCTTCTCTTCAACAAGACCTTGTATATTTGTTTGTTTAAATAAACCCCTTTCATCTGCCTGGTAAAAAGTGGCATTTCAGCTTAGCCAAAATACACATTAATGTTGCATGAAATGAGTGCTTTTAAGGCTCTGCTCAGAAATACATCCAGCCTTGATTAGAAGAGAAATATAAACTGCCTGGAAAAATAGGATTGATGTTTATTTAAAGCAGCTAACACATAGTTTTCTATTTTTGAACCAAGCTTGTGCTTAATATTGATAAACACAGCAGGAAGAGTCATGGAGGCAGAATTTAAAGTGTATATAGAAAATCCAACCTCTGCCAGGCTGGATATTTAAATTCTGGAGGCAGAATTTAAAGTGTATATAGAAAATCCAACCTCTGCCAGGCTGGATATTTAAATTCTGCAGGCAGAATTTGCAGTGTATATAGAAAATCCAACCTCTGCCAGCACCGATACCCTGGAAATATGAAATGTTTGCTCAGCCTTCTGTGTGTGGCAACATTTAGTGCTAAAACAGAACCAAAACTGAGACAGGAGTTCTGCAGACACATTTCTTTCATCTGGTGCTTTCTTTTAGGCAATATAGGAGACATTTAATCCAGAAATCCAGATGGGAAATTATTTGCTGATGCTTTTCAAACAAAGCAAAGAAAGGAAATTACTGAAGACCCAGGCAGACACTGGGTATTTTGAATATTCAGCACTGAACAGAGAGTTTTAGTGAGGTTTTGAGTACATGATCCCTGAAATCCCAACTGCATGAACCAGCCCTTTCAATTCCTTCCTTTGGGATCCACTCTGAGGTATTTTGCGCTGAGATTTTTGGGATGAACTTTCTGGGCAGACACCTCGGCTCTGCTTGAGCTCCCAGCAAAAAACGAGGAGCTTAATGAAAATTTGCTGATATTTTCTTTGTTATCCTGCTCAGCCCAGCCATGGCTCTCAAAGTGGGACAAACGACAGTGGAATATCCCCAGGGATGATGACAGCCGGGCAGGGAACAGGCTACTCCCTTTGTGCGCCGAACTCTCCCTCCCCCAGATGCCAAAAACCCAACGGCGGAATCGCACCACGCCTTAATAAGGGAAAAATCAGAGCTTTTTATTAATCAACTCCGCCATTACGTTTAACAAAAGCCACTTTCATGCCGTGCTGAAGGCCTTGGCGATGCAAATCCCGGGGGGCTCTTTGAAGGCGCCCGCTCTTTGTGGCTGCGCGGGGCTCCGCTCCCGGCTCCGCGGCCGGCGCTGCTAATGGGATTAGCGGGGAAAAGCGATGGGATCGCCTTCCCGGGCATCCCAAACACCCCCCGGCTCCCCAGCAGCGTCCCGGCACTCCCGCAGAGCCGCAGGGAGAAGCCAAAGCCCGCGGATTAAGCGCAGTAATTTATGACTGTGAAGGAGAGGGGTGGGAAAGAGGGATGGGAGAGATGGAAACGGGGGCTGGGAGCACAAACCCTGTGAGGAACCCCTGAGGGAGAAAAGGAGATTCAGGGGTGCCCCCATCACTCTCACAGCTCCTGGGCATTGACACAGCCAGAGCACACAGCCTCGAGCTGCACCAAGGGAAATACAGGCTGGACAGCAGGGAAAAGCTTTTTCCAGCAAGGTGATAAAGCTCTGGAATGGCTGCCCAGGGAGGTGGTGCAGTGCCCATCCCTGGGGGTGTTTAACAGAGCCTGGATGTGGCACAGGGTGCCAGGGTTTGGTTGGGGTGCTGGGGCTGGGTTGGACTCCATGATCTTGGAGGTCTCTTCCAACCCAGTCATTCTGGGAATTCTGTGAAACCTCCTCCAGGCCATCTCACCACGGGGAAAGTGATGGGAAAGGCTCCAGGTTCCCCTGGATGATGGTCCCAAGGCATTCCCAAGCACCTTGGAAGCTGGGTTGAAAGCACAACCTTTGACTGCCAATTAAACTCTTCATTAACAGCCCCAGGGGAGGCTGAGTGCCTCAGGGATTCAGGTAGCAGAGACACCTGAGCTGCAAGCAGAGATCCACAACCACAGCCTTGGCTTCCTGCAGGGGGTCAGCTCTGGTGACAATATTTTTATCTGTTGGTTCTTGAAGAGAAAAACTGAAACCTGAGCTGAAAAACCCCAACAGCAACTGCAGGCTATGGCGTTGAGTTCATCTTCTCATCATTACATGCCCAGATAGGATATAATGAATTATTCGTTTATTATTTTTATGGAATTATAGCATCATAAAATCCTTAAGGTTGGAAAAGGCCGCTCAGATTCAGTCCAAACATTCACCAGCACTGCCAGGGCCAGCACTGACCACGTCCCCAAGTGTCACATCCACTGGGATGGTAAATTCCTCCAGGGATGGGGACTCCACCACTGTGCCCATGTCTGACCACCCTTTCTGTACAGGAAATTCCCAAAATACCCACCCTGAGCTCCCCTGGGTGCCGTTCCCTCTGCTCCTGTCCCTGTTCCTGGGAGCAGATCCCAAACCCCTCCTGGCAGGAGCTGTGCAGAGCCACAAGGGCCCCCTGAGCCTCCTTTGCTCCAGGATAAATTTATCACGGAATTTCACTCGGGGACTGCACAAAGGCTCCCCCAAGGATGGGCAGTGAGCAGGGACACCGGCTCACCTGGCTGGAAATGCCCTGTGGAACGGGATTTTGCAGAAATCCCAGGAGGGGAACATTAGGGTAAAGGGGAAACCCTTTCCCAGCGAGCAGATGCTGCCGGGGTGATCACCGTGTGCTTCCCAGAGATCCCATCCGACCCCATCCAGACCCAGAGGAGCATGAATGACCCTGCAGCTCCAACACATTCCCCTGGCCTCTGGCAGCGCTCTGCCTTTAAACACGGCTATTTTAGCTTTGGCTTTAAACACAGACATCGGGTTTTGGCTTTAAACACAACTATTATCAGGTTTTGGCTTTAAACACAACTATCAGGTTTGGGTTTAAACACACGCATCAGGTTTTGGCTTTAAACACACCTATCAGGTTTTTGTTTTAAAGACAGAGGTTTATGTTTTTTAAACATAGCAATCGATTTTTGGTTTTAAACACACCTATCACTTTTTGGCTTTAAACACAGCAGTTTTAGTTTTAAACACAGCAGTTTTTGGTTTTAAACACACCTATCACTTTTTGGCTTTAAAAACACCTATCAGTTTTTAGCTTTAAACACACCTATCACTTTTTGGTTTCAAACCCAGCGATCGGGTTTTGGTTTTAAACACACCTATCAGTTTTTGGCTTTAAACACAGCAATCGGTTTTTGGCTTTAGACCAATCAAACACCTATCAATCAGTTCTTGGCTTTAGGCACAGTTATTATCAATTTTTGGCTTTAAACACAGCTATTATCAGGTTTTGGCTTTCAGCACAGCTCTTGGCTCCCTGGGATCAAGGCTGGGCCCGCATTCCTTTCCCTGGCATCCCTCACCTGCTCGGTGTGAGGAGTCACCGCATCCCCGCTCCAATGCGTTCCTGCTTCTCCATCCTGATCCCGCACAAGGAAAGCTCCCTTTGGCTCCAGCAGGATGGAGATTAGGCCCGACCCAGCAATTACCGTGTTAACACTTACAGCCCAGTTTAAATCCTCCTGGAAGTCAGGGCAAGCCTGGAGGCGTTCCTGGCTGAGGATGGGCTCGAATCCTTGTGCAGACTGGGGAGGGCAGGAACAATCCCAGCCCCGGCACAGCCGGGATTTGGGATCTGGGAGCTGCCCCACACCTGACTCCTGTGGAGTCTCTGCTTCTTTTTTGCCAAGGTGGGGATTAAATGCACAAGAAGGAATTTCTCGCTGGGACTCAGATGTTTGTTAGTTCTTATCTCTGTCACAGTCTCACAAACCCTGAGTTCTGCAGCACTTCACTCTGACAAACTGAAAATGGAGCCCCATCTCTCTCTGCAAGGCCTTTCAAGGATAAACTGTCCAATTAAGAAATGACACCTCAATTATTTTTACTTTTAACCCAATAACCAACCACCCGTGCCCCCAATGGGGACTTTTTATCCAATTACACAAAACCACCCAAACCCATGGAGAAGGTGAAAAAGAAGGTGAAGAAGAAAGAGAAGATGAAGGTGAAGAAAGACCAGCCTCTGCCCCAAAACCTCCATCTTATATATTAATAGATATATAATAGATATATATATTATATAATATATATAATAGATATAGATTACTTTATATGCCTAGTATTCTAGTAATATATAAAGCTTTAAACTCTATTATTCTATTAATATATAAAACTTAAAACTCTAAGCTTAAATAAATAAATTTAAAATTTAATTTAAAATTTAAATAAAATTAATTTAATAAATATATAAACATTAAACTCTAAGTTTCCCACCATGTGATATCACACACTTCTATTCAAACTGCACACCCACAATCCCAGTTCTGTCATTTAATTTTGGAAATTTTCTCCACAGCCATAGGTGAATGCAGTGTTCTGGCAGCACAGAAATCTGAAATTCTCAGCATCCAGGGTTGCTCCTTGCCCTGCCTGCACCCCTGAGCCCCTCTGAGCACTGGGTGAAGGACAAAGAGCTGGATTTTAATGACCCACAGATGACACAGCACTGTTAAGATTATTTCCTTTCAGATTTGGTTCCCACTCTGTTTTCTGTTTCGCTCTGTCAGTATTCCCAGCCTGGGTGTTTATTTTGGAGCTGCCCATTGCTTTTGGGTCCTGCTGCACTCCCCCCGTGGCAGCACCTCTGGCTCGGTGTGATAACAGCACCAAGGGTGAATTCACACCGTGTGTCTGATTGCTCCAGCTCACAGAAAGCCAAGGAGGAGCTTTGAAGGGCACCCACAGCCAAAACCTCTTTAGGATCCCCTCCAGCCCAGCCCATCCTCTGATTCCATCTCAGCTGCTCCTGCTGTGGGGCTCCAGTGAACCCAGAGGCTGCTCCCTGTCCCAAGCAGCTCCTTTCTGAAACTGGGCAGAATTTCTGC